TGTCATGAAACCATACATCTTAGAGAGAAATGGCTTTAAAAGTCATCAGTCCAGCTTCTTACTTCTGCATAATAAATGTCTTATACTGAATTATTGTCTCCAACTCTTCATTCTCCTCTATTATATATTTGCATGATTGACATGGCCTCTAGCTGCTCTGAGTATATTTCCCCATGCACTGACATTGAGCTTGACCATGTGATTTGCTTTGGTGAATGGGGTATTATAGGATATGTTTGAGAGCAGAATTTAAATATGCTTATGTATTTGGACCTGCTATTTTGCACTCTTATCATTGCCATATGAACAACATGACCCAGACAGTCTTCATCCCTTCAGCTTAGGTCCCAGAATGAGCAGAGCTGTCCCAGTCATAAAGCCCTATAGGCCTTGGTCCTGTTTCATTCTCCAACCATATCTTGTTCCATTTTCAGTCATGGGAATGTTTTTGAGCTCCTTGGACATGTCAGATCTTTGTATAGGCCATTCCCTCTGCCTGGAATCCTCTTATCCCTGTGCTTGAGGTCTTAGCTCAACTGTCTCTTTCTCAGAAAGACCATTCTTGACTGCCTAATCTAAATTCTCATAAAACCCATGGTACTGACCACAATTTAAATTATGAGTTTGCGTATGCACACGTTCGATGTCCATTTCCCTACTAGACAGGTGATTCATGAAAGCAGTATGTTCAATTTGTTTAATTTGTTCAGTATGGTGTACGCAGTGCTGATACACTGCCTGGCACAGAACAGTCCTCTGGGAGAGAGGAAGGGAGAGGGGAATAAAAAGGAGGGGGGAAAGGTAGCATGCTTGCATTTTTACCTGTTTTGTCACTGAAAAGCTGTGTGACTTTGAGTAAGTCATAGAACCTCTCTCTGTTACTTTTCCTGCCGATAAAATGTTTCAGCATCATCAGAAACAGAATTCCCTCAAGAATGGAGACAATTCCCTGCCTTTTGTGGGGAGGAGGAAATTCAGAGTAGAAAGGAGAAAAACAGAAACAGGTTGCTTCTACTGTGGAGTTAGGTCTCTGGGATCGGGGAGAGGGCCAGGGCAGGGGCATAAGAGTCTCAGGTAACTTTGTGTTTTCTAAAATCAAGGAAGGCCCCTCCAGGGCTATAGAGCAAGTCTGTTGAGAAGACGGCACTGTGTGGCCCTTCTAGGCAGATGGGCTCATGAACTTCCCCACCCTCAGCATCCAGAGAAGAAGAAAAGCGCGGGAGGCCCTGGGAGGCCCTGACCGCCTGATAGACAAGAATCAGGGGAGCCCCAGGGGTGATCTGTATGGACTGGTGACTGTGTGGCAGGATTGACACGCGCCCACTGGACAGATACCAACTAAAGACAGATACCCCACCCCTGTAGTCAGCTCCATCATCTTGGGACTCTCAAAGGCCCCAGAAATGAGAAACACCCTCAGGGGTTTAGTGAAAGAAAGTTGAAGCTACTGAGATTACATTACTGCTCCTGCAGAAAGAGGCCTTGAGCCAGAAAGAGAAGGGTTTGCATGGTTACATTTTCTCATCCCCCTGAATGTGTGAGCTGAACTCCAAACCTGCCACATCATGATTTTCATTAACAGCTTTTGTCTTCCCCATCACTGTCCCTGTTGGTCTCATAGAAGCACTTCCCTCCGGGTGAACCTGAATCTTTACTAAAATCACACATTTCTTAATTTTCCCCAGTTCACCACTTTTGCACATACTGTTCCCCCACCTAAAGGGACCTCTGTCATCCTCACTTGTCCTAATATTGTCAAGTGTCAAGATACAACGGAAGCCATTCCTGAACCCTTCCTGCCGATCTTAGCCCATATAATTACTCTACTTTACTTCCAGCCCTTATAGCCTTTACCCTTCTCTTGGACCCTAAGCAATCACTGTCTTACAAAGTTATTTATTTTTTTACTATATACATTTTCCTGGCTGAATGAGATTATTACCTCTTCACAGCCAGGGACTTACCTTTTTATTGATATTATTAACAATCAGAGCAGGCTTCTCCTTAAAGATATGTAGCAGGCTTCTCCTTAAAGATACATTGAATAACATTTATTGAATGAATGAATGGTAGCAACTTAGGGCATGCTTATTAATTGAATAATGAGATATGGGAGGAAAAAGCAAGTATGCATTGAATAATCGAACGCCTGAAATGAAGCCAACAGCCTGCCCAGATGTTCTCACCCAAGGGGAAAGTTCTGCAGTTCCAGTCACAGTTGGATGATATTTACAAGGCTTAGTATCATCTTTACTGACTTAACTCCAGTTTTCACTGATATCAGAAATAAATGTTTTTGTCATGCAGCCTAATTTAAAATTCTTGGCATATATGAGCATTTTATTCATATTATGACTGTAATCATTTGTTTTGTTTTAATATAATTTAACTCAGAGTTACTATATAGAGAGCATTAAATTTTTGTGATGGCCCAGTAGAGCCAAATGTATTTCAGAAGCAAATCTGAGCCAGAGGGCATTATTTTACAGATGATGACATGGGGGTACAGAGAGGTTAAATAATATGTCCTCAAGACACACAGCTAATTGGTGAAAGATGTGGTCTAGAATACAGATCCCTGGATACAGGTCTCGTACCATATTTTTTTCTATATCCTGCTGCCTCTGTTAGTGAAAGAATAAAAGGACATTCTGCGATGTGGACTTTTCCCCACATATTTTTTAAATGCCATTAAAGATTATAGCATAATCTATATTGTGCTGTGAGTAGGAGAAGCATAATTTCCAGCACCATAAAAATGTTCCCCTAAACTCAGGCAGGATTGAAATTGGTGTAAACATGGGACCAGGTAAACATGGGACAACCACGCTGAGCTGAAGACAGTTCTGAGACTTCAACCATGAAAGCATGGGAGTGGCCAAAGTGAAATGAATCACCCCCATCCTACATTTGCTTTGTTATTTAATATCCTCAAGTAGCCATCCCTCCATAGTCCAGAGCTTTTGCTCACTCCCTCCAATTCATCTTGACTCATCTGACTTTAAACTTGTCCCAGCTTTGTGTTAAGAGGAGGTCCAATGGCTTGGTCCAAATGCTTTCTGTATGGTGCTCCAAGGAACACCAGGGCCTCTAGTGGCTTTCTCAGGGGGGATATCAGGTTAGGCATCCATTCTTCCCAATCTGACTTCAATCAGAGATGTTCTTGGTTAACCTGCATCAGTATCTTGCATAATGCTTAACCAGAAAAAAACATAAATAAATTCTGCTTTATAAGCAATAGTAATAAAAACAAACAAAACTATGTTGGAAATCCACTGGAGTAGCTCATTTCTAAGGTGCCTACCAGGTCCTTCAATCTATGAAACATGTGAGGACAAGATGGGCCTAACGGTGCCTTTCCAATCACACCAAGTAGGTCTGATTCTGTCAAGGATCAATCCATATTGTTGAAGGTGCCCATCGTAGAAATTCTGAGGGAAGCCCCTCTTTCCCTTGAGGGCCTTCTAGGCCATAAAGCAACCCAGCATTCTAGTTCAAATCAGAAAGTCACAGTTGAAATAAATTCCCTGCAATTTCCCCTTAGACCCACTATGAAAAAGGTCTGGGGTCTTATGAGGCTCTGATTTAACAAGTTCATCTCAATTCATTCATTGAACATCAACTATATGCTATCTATTAGGTTGGTACTATTCTGATTTGGGGCTGAGATTTATCATTTTGTTATTACTATTTATTTTTGGTTTGCTTTTGTTTTTCCATACTTAACCCCGAACGATAGCCCTACATCTCCACAGAGTAAGAAAACTTAGGGATTGATGTCTTTTTTCCCCTCATATATTTCCATTGAATTCTTCCAACCTCTATTTAACACCAACCGAGCATCCATTACCAAACTAGTGCAAGAATATATAGAAGAAAAGTTTAAAACTATGGTCCCTCTCTTCAAGGATTTAGAGTGTATCTGAGAGAAAAACCTTCCCCACACAACACCAACCGGTAACAAAGGAAGATACTAAATTAGCTACAACCGCCTGCCAAAGGTAAACACTAAATTTGCTTTGCAGGATGGAAAGGGTGAGATTGGGGCAAGCTGGAGTTTCCAGAGGTCTGACCTGTTTGTTGAAGGTCTAAAAGGATTTGGACAAGAAGAGAGAACGATTCTTTAAGGGAAAGGGGAGAAAGTAGAAGACAAGCCCCCAAGGGCCAGCGGCTTTGGGGTGAAAGCTGGCTATGTGAGAGAGCCCGGACGCCCAGCCTCTGCCACCCCTCGCTGGAGTTTGCTGGTCAAGTGACTTACCCGCTCTGGTCTCAGCCTATCATGGTCCGATGGAAATCCAGTTCCTGGGCTCTCCTCTCCGAGGCGCATCTCTATTTAAAAGTGTTTAATGCCTGCCACGTGCTTAGCGCTCACTACCTGTGAGAGAGCCACGCATTATTGTTACCATAATCTTCATTTACCACCTGCTTCCCTCACTTGAACCCATTACTCACGCCGTCCCTCCCCCAGACGGAGCTTTTCGCCTTCTCCCGGGGTTCACGTACCTGCTCTTTGCGAGATGAGTTTACTAAATGTTCCATGTTAAAGTGACCATTTCCAAGAGCTTGAGGGGACTTAAAAGGGGGAAACGGTGTTATTGCGGGATTCCTCAGTAAGCAGGCTTATTTTTCAGAAGTGGAGGGCGGTTGAGGGTGGATCAGTTCCCTCTTGGAGGCAGTAAGAGGAAACAGCCTGGTGAGTGTCTAAGGGGACGGAGGAGCCAAACTCTCTTCCGAAGGAGGGGTCTCCCCACATGCCAACAATCTTGCCCATTTTCCCATTTCTTCCATGACCTCTCTTTCCTAAACCAGCGAGGATAATCTGGGAATGAATTCACATTTTCTAAGGGAGAAATACTGCCAGGCTTGTTAATCTCATGCAGATGTGATGTTACTTTTACTATGTTGTACTATGGCTTCTTAAAAAAACAAGTTGGAAGGAGGGGGGGAGTGGAGGGGGAAAGAAACCCACCAAAAAACACACACAGATATTCGCCAACCCATATGGTCAGTAATTGCTGTTTAATAGTCCTCCTATTACAAACCTAAGAGGCAGCAGCCTGAATTACCAGTAGAGTATTAATAAACAGGAATGAGTTAATAGTGCATAAAGACCTTCCAGTGGAACAGTGGGGGAGTTGAATATTCTTTTCGTCAGTCAGCTGTAAGTAATTACTGCATGGTGTGCTTCTGACTATTACCATAACAGAGCAATTGGACGTGAAGAATGGGTAATAGTACGGACACGGAGGTATTTTTAGAATATCCGCAGTGAAGCAGGTAACCGGCCTCCTCCAGTAGAAACCTTTCCATAAGTTTCTTCGAAGGCTTTTTTTTTCCCCTCCCTCCTTATGACATTTAGCCAGGGTAGAATTTTAAAAAGATCAATCTAATAAATTATTTAAAATAACTTTACAAAGAGGACGCCTGTGATATGTAAATAAGAAGTCAAGAAGGGAGGAAGGCGAAGCCCGCGGAGCCCTGGCGGACGGCAGGCATCTCGCAGCGGCCCGGCCCCGCGCGCTCCTCCGAGAGCGCGGCCCGGGCGCGAGGCTGCTCCGGTGGAAGCGAAGGTATTCAAATCAGAGCTGTAACTAGGATCGCTGGAGTCGCGGGCTTTCTAAAATTGAGTTAGTCATCCTCGGTGATTTAATGATGCATATCATTTACTTTACAATATCATCGCGGAGGCACTGAGCGAGCCGCCGCGCCTTCTTGGCGGGGCTGCGGGTTACCCGGCGCGCGCGCGGGCCGAGGCCGTGTCTTAACCGCGCCACGTCCGTTCTCGGGCGAAAACAGCTGGACGCTTTGATCCAGTCGGCAGTAATTTTGCAAACGCACACAGATATCATTTAAGGAATATTTGGGGGAGGGGGGATTTCAAGGCCTATAGGTCCTCCCCCTGCCTCCCAGCTGCGTAGGCCAATGCTGATTTTCCAATTTGCAGGTTTGTTAAGCATCCTGGAATGTTTTGGTTCTCAATCAAGAATATTCTTCCCAAGTGGTTCCAGAGTCCTACGCTTGAAAAATAAACGTGCGCCCTCTTTGTGTCCTAGCAGCGTGGGCTCCGTCGTTCAGCAGAGCGCGGGACAGAGCCAGGCAATGCCTCGGATGGATCCGTCCTACAGGTTTTTAACCCGCCGGTCTCCGGGGCTGGAGCAGCTTTCCTCCGGCCCAGCCGCAGGCTCGCCTCTGTGCGCACCGCCGGCAGCTGGCGTCCAACTGGGATGACTCAGGGGCGAGCCCCAAGCGCTCCTCCTGGCAGGATTCCTGCCCGACCTGTGGCACAGGAGCTGGGCAGGGACGAGCTGCCTCAGGGTTAGCGACTCGGGCTCCCACCTGAAAGAGAGGCGCAGCCAGTGAGGCGGGTGGCAATGCTCAGCTGATCGCTGCGGCGGCTCGGAAGTCCTCTGACAGACGAGCGTGTGCGAATAAACACCGACACGTTTATGCGTCATGGTGTCTGAGGTCTGCCAGCCAGCATGTTCTGCTTCATCTAAACACTGCGCACCTCCCCTTTTTTTTTTTTTTTTTTTTTTTTTTT